GCTTTGCATGTAACGAGTCTATCTCATATATTAGTTTCACCTTTTAAGTTGCATTACTGAAATAAATGAACTTTTGCACAATATTCTAATTTTTCAAGTTTCACCTTTATATTATGGTTGAATGTGCTCTGTATTAGGCCAGTTTTAGATAACTTTCCAACAATAAGGAAGGAGTCTGATGGCGCAAAGGTTAGAATACAGAATCCTTGCAGGCTGATTCTGCTGACTACCAGCAGTTCGATCCTGACCGGTTCAAGGTTGACTCAATCTTCCAGCCTTCGGAGGTCAGTAAAACGAGGATCCGGATTGTCGGGGGCAAGAGGCTGACTCTGAAAACCCATGGAGCAGTTTACAAGTCTAATTGCTATTGCTAAAAAGGACTTTATTCAAAGACATAAGGTTTCTTTTCTATTCCTGCTGATTCCTGGGGGGAAAAAACCACGTCGTTTATATGAATTACTACTGGTTGCCAAATTAAAATTAATACAAATGTAATTAACTCATCATATTGCTTTTACTGTCTCTCAAATAATAACACACTTGCAATATTGAGATTAATCTATCCGGAGGTCATCCGATGGAGACAGAATACATTCCTCCTAAGAGTAATATTGATATCAGTAAAGAAGCTTGTATTATCAAGATCTCCCTTCCTCTTGATCACTTATAATTGTCTCAACTCTCCCCAGGAACTTTGGTTCAGTGAGATGTTATGTGTAGACCAACAAAAGTCCCCCAGCCAACTGAAATCTCATTTTCTATACTTACAACCAAATCTTTGGGGGGGGAAAAAAGGGTGGGGGCTTTCAAAAGTTAAAATGGGGAGACTCTGATTCCGGTCATTTTCCTTCAGTCCAATCTGCTCCACAAAATTATATTTGTGAGAAAAAGTAGGAGTGCCACGTCCACCGCCTGGAACCTCTCAGAGGAATGATAAAGCAGAAATCTAATAAATAACACAGGAAACTTTCTTCTGCCACAACTTCAAGAGCCTTGAAATATAATGTGTTCATCTATGGCTACTGTATTGTAAAAGTCCAGGAGTGTGTATGTGTAATTTGTATTAAGAATTTCAAAGAGAAAGAAAAAAAAAACTAACTCTTTAAATGGCAGATCTACCTGGCAGCCTGAGAGCCCGGCATCTCGACCAAACATTGGCAACTGACTCTTCTCAGAGGCTTTTCCTAGAAAGCAAACAAACTTAAAAATGAACGCCCGTTATAGAAATACTGAGAACTTCCTAATGACAGCATTCTACATTTTAAAAGGGAATATAAATTAAAAACCAGCACAATGTTTTAACAAAAGCAGTAAATAACTTGGAGGAAGACGAAAGACTTAAGAATGCTTCCATCTCTTTCACGGACCTTGATAGCATACAAAGCACAACATGCTGATCCTTCTCAGGATCAAGATTATTTTCCTGTGTGAAACAAATTCCATTTGTCTGTTGCTGTTAAGGAGAAAAGGACTAACTCAGCCCTCCTGATAGCTTTGCACCATATAGGATCAACCTCCTTAACTCTCAAAACTCTCCTCCCACTACATATTCAACATGGACTGTGATTTTTACACATCAACCTACCGTGTGTGTGTGTGTGTNTGCTATATTTTGAAGAAGGAAGAGGGGAAATTCTGACAGTTCTTAATGAAAAGCATAGAAAGGAGCAGCAGAATCGGCTGATAGTGGCACCTTGTTTTTAAGCAGTCTGCAACCCTCCCTCTCAAGCAGCAATTTCAAACTGCACTTCTTTCAGTCTGGATTCTGAAAATCAAAGAACTTTTGTGGCAAAACACAACTGATGTGGTCTCAGACCTCATTCGGTCCAGATGTTGGGAAACAAGTCTGCCAATTCTAAAACAAAAAGCAAGTTTCCTTTGTTACAGTGAGAACCACACGCAAATTAAAACCAGTTCTCTCAAGTCATTTGATCACCTGCAGATGATTGTCAGTTTTTCCTCCCGCCCTGGTTAATCACAAGTTTTATTCTATTTTGTTCTTGCAAACAAAAATGAAAAAGCAGAAGACTGACTGAGAGGTAAAGATTAAGCAGTCTGTAAGTAGCCTGCTCCACATTTAGTGTCACAATTTGACCAAGGCAGTGTATTGAATTTTCAGCATGGAGATATTCGCCAGCACATTTCAGGTCCAGGCTGAGCAACCAAAGCAAGCTTCCTTCTGCTCTTCTGGATCTGCCTCTTTACTAGCCACCGAGGGATGCAACCGCCTGCTTGATTCCACTAGTCCTTCAAGGAGATATATTTGATAGGAATACCTGAAATCTTAAGTTGTAGCTCTGATGTTATCTAGTTTTAACTATCTGACATCTAATGGTTTTTATTATTTTATTTCTTAATCAAACTATTCTACTATTATTTAATTTTATGTAACAATTAAATGTTTATGCTGCCCATTTCCTTTTAAGGCAAAACCTATAAGTTGCCAGAGGCTTCCTAATAAAAAAAACAAGGACAGAAAATCTGTAGAAACAGCACCAAAAAGCCTAGTGGAAAACAGGTGCTCCAAATACATTTTGAGATATGGAAGAGCCCAAATAATACTATCCTGGGGCGGCCAGATAATGATTCCAAGGCCGCTCCAGATTTCCAACCCAGCCACGTGTTTGGGGCTTTCTGCGTCTCCCATGAGAAATGAATGCAAGGAATGAATGTTTCCTGCAGTGAGAAGGAGAGAAAAGGACATTTCAAGAAGGCTCCCCCTGACACATGGGGCTGGTTGAATTGAGATCCCGTGTAATCTCTGCTACATGGGAAAAGCTTGTTCTTCTTCTTCTTCTTCCAAAGAGGGCTGCTGTGGTGATGCTGAGCAAAACAGCTTGAAGCCTTTACATGCCTAGTTCAAAATTCAGGTTGCCAAGAACCGCACTGAAGAAGGCACCGGGGCTGGGCAGAGGGTCCCAAAGCTTACAGCCTCGGTGAGGGAGCCAGGAACAGGCTGCAGGGCTCTGGAATCGAGAACCATCGCCCAAGGCTACGCTGAATGGTTGCCCAAATCTACCTAGACGCCAGTGAAGTACAAGGCTTTTGGCACATTGTGCCGTACACTTTAAACATAGAGGTTTTATGACTATGCACCATTTAATAAATTATGCAATATTGTTTACATGGAGTCTAATGAAATTATCCCATTCTACGATGGCAGTAAAAATGATGGTATAAATATACTGTATAGCATGTAAAATCTAGAATCTTTTAAAATGTTTTTCTTCTTTGGTGATATGGATTTTGGAAAATACACTGTTCCAAAACAATATGAATGCATGGTTACTACATGCAGCAACATTGGACTGTATCCATTAATTTCTCTACAATCTTCTTACAGAAAATGAATTTTTATTGTAAATTAGTAATAAAAGTAATAAATAGCCTGTCCTAGGTAAAGCAATAAGACTTCTGCCAGGGTGCCACTGTTTAACTCCATTGGACGAAGCAGCCTGGGGGATGGAAATACGTCCAATAGGAACCCCTTTCTCTTCTTCTTTATACTCTATATAGAGCCTTGTTCTTCTTTTTCCATGTATTAAATGAAAGTGGGAAAGCAACCCTGCCCAGAGATTAAATTGCCTTTCCTAAAACTTGCATTGCCCAAACCCTTAAAAAAAGTGCTTGATTAAAATAAAGGCTGTAGTTTAAGACAGTATTTTTTAACGTAAACTGCAAAACTTGAAAAAGAATCAATTCTTGAGAAATGTTCCTTGCAAGTGTATTTCCAGCCTCTGTTGCGGCTCTTCGGAAGCTTCTGAGCCGCATCTCCTCTCCTCGAGGGTCCAAACCAGCCAGGTCAAGGGCGGATCTGAACACAGCCGTGCCCTCAAAAGCCAGCTCAGCATTTCCCAACTCAGGCGGCTGCCAGGCGCTCCTCCGTTTATCACCAAGCAGCAGTTGCTACCTATCAACAACCGTTGATATATAACAATGCTTTAAAAACCCCTTTTAGTTAAAGTTCTGAAGCAATCCATTAACTAATTGGTAAAACGCTATGAACAAAACAATGGAGGGAATGGCGATCAATTCTTAAAAGCAGCTTCTCTGAGACTTCTCCCTCTCAAGGTATAACCATGCTTGAACCAGGACCAAATAGAAGCCGGGGCTTCCAGGGATGGCATCACAACATTTGTGCTTCAGTGCACCTTAGTCTCCTCCCACTCGCCCCCAGTGTTGAAGTACCTCCCAAAGGCCACGTCACACGGTTAAGGAATACCAAGAAGGGGACTTCTCAATTTTCAACGCTCCTGAAAAGCAACAAGCAGACGCTCTGAAGTCTCCACCCCTGGCAGGCTTTAGGATCGCTTCCCTCCGCTGCCTGGAAATAGCATCAAAGCCCTCCCTTCCCCCCAGAAGAAAGTGGAACGGCTTGGCCTCAAGGAAGAGTAAAATCAATACTTCACACAAGTTGTAATGTTAGGACTCTGGGGAAAGTTAATGTGATTTGACTTCTCAGCTCAGCTTCCAAATGATTTTAGCAGAGGAGGGAAGGAATCAAAATCACATCTGCAGTAGTTGGCTTTTCACTGGAGAAACCACTAAAGAGAACAGGCAACCTCTCTCCAGCCCCTGACACCAATCTGCCTTCCTTAGTGAGTCTGAGCTGTCATGAAGATGTCGATCCCGAACTATTCAGTGTTTGCTAAAATGGCTTCAAGTAAAAAGTTAAGTCACCCAACTCCAGTATCCAAGGAGATTTCATAGTCCCTATCAATGAGTAGAAACCATTAGACAATAACTGAAGATTACCCGTAGATGAAAATGAGCCTCAACATAGCTCTTATTTACATAATTTATCACAGCACAAAGTTCAAAAGTTGAAATATTTTGCATCTAAAACAAATTTTGCACGACACGTTGCAAATGAAACTGGACTGAATCTCTCCTTTGTCTGAAGGAAATGTTGGTATCAAAACCTGGAATCAAGTTTATGTCTCCTATAAGATGTGGAAGTTTTATTATATGATATGCAATAATCATACAGGCAATTTACATGGTAATAATTAACAAGAAATCCCCATTTCAGTGTTTTATGTTTCTGAACAGGGTGCATAATCATTCCTGGTTAGAATACAGTAGATTATTTTTGATAGAAATATTTACTCAAATTTTTGAACACTCTTACGTACACTAACCCCTCCCCCGAAGGAGCATTTGGTAGTCAATCAGGAGAGCTTGTGAAGCTCCAGATTGGAAAGCAGCCCCGGGAATCATCCAGGGGCAACTCTGACTCACGTCTTGAAGCAGGCCGCATTCAACCGCCATCAGAACGGCATCTCTGAATCAATGGCCGCCCTGTCAGAAAGTCCACCCTCCCCTGGAGGACACGGCTGGAAGGGCTGGCTGGGGCGACCTCCGAATCGACCTGGGAGACAGTGGAGACTCTCTGAACAAAAGAAAGGAAACCTCACCATTTCCCCACAGTAGTAGTAGTAGTAGTAATACACGAGAGAAGTCCTGCTCATTCCAGGCATTGGGTATGCGCAATACATGCCTGCCTGGGAAATTGCCAGAGTCCCAAGCCTGGCGCCCCTCCGTGATGTCAAATGCCCCCGATGAAATACAGCGGTGGCTCCTGGGGGGGCAAGGGAAGCACATATGGATGCACTTTGGAAGAAACGTATGCAAAGCAGGACTGAACCATCTCAGGCAGCAAAATGGGGTGAGTGCATCTGAAGGCAGCCGGGCTCCTCTGAAATGGTCTGTCCGATTTACTCCAGGGTGCTCTTGTCACCATGACCCAACCAGGAAGCCCTTCTGTTAGAATCTGAACTTAAAAGAACATTCCCGCTAATCCCAACCTGGTTTTTTTGTTTGTGTGTTTTGAACTCCAAAGCGCCTGCAGAGCCCTCAGCCAGCCAATCCTTTTCTCTGAATGAAATGGGAGGAGAGGCCTCTTCTCCCACCCATCGGCTCTCCCTAAAGGCGGCTGCAAGTTCTCCTAATCTGGCCTCTCTTTGCCTCCGGCTGAAGCGCAGGCAGATGGAAGGAGAAAATGGATTATTTCTTTACATTTAAACTAGTCCAGTATTTCTGTATTTTAAAATTCATTTGAACTCTCTTTTATGCAGGGTACTAATAATCTATTTACTAGTAATAAACTTTTCCACTTTTTTTCAGTCGCCTTTAACTGGATATTCAGAGCTTAATATTTTATTTCGTTTATAGGCAGCTGTCACTGTAAAACTCTAAAAGTTACCAGAAAGGGTTTTTTTAAATTTGAAAAATTATTTTATTTTTTACTTGAAACGTGAACTTTCCAAAATTAAACTCCTAAATGAGAACCCCACAGGGGCCTAGTGTTTAAGATGCTGAAGCAGGAGCCCCGGTGCCCAATCTCTCCTTGACCCTGGAAGACCCCCCCCCCCGGAGGCTTTGGGCCAGCCGCCCTCTCTCAGCCCAGCCTAGCTCAGAGATTGCTTGAGTGAGAGGAAAATGGGAAGATTTCCATGTTCACTGAAGGACAGGAGGAATACAAAGAAAATGAAAAGGATCAGCGCAGGCAAACTATAAACAGCTTCTTAGCCGCTGGAATCCTCAGCCCAGAAAAGCAGGGGAAGCACAGAAAGGCTTCACTTGTTAGCACCTCATTAGGGCTGGAAAAAAGCTTTGGAGTGTAAGACGCACCCAGAATTTCAGCCTCTTTTAGGGGGCCTGGGAGTGTATCTTATACTCTGAAAAACATGGTGTATACTCTGTCCCACAAATGTGTTGCGCACCAGTAGAGGGCGATGTTTAAAATAGGAAAGTGGATGTGAACAGAAGACGCTCAGCTAAGCAGGGTCGTAACTTTGAGCCAGTCCTTTTCTCTAGGGGTTCCTTCTGTAACGGATCGGTTCCAGCAATTAAGACTATTCGGCTCAATTCCTTTAACAAGTACTTTACCAATTCATATTAAATTACAACTCAGCCTACCAAGGGGAAGATGCAGTTTTGACTGAGTCCCGTAGACGGCTGTATAATCTAAACCTATTCTGTTGTGAGAACATTTTAATGCCTAATGAAAACGCGCATGAACAAAATAGAAGCAAATTGCTACGTTCTACGGCTAACGTCTCTCGCAAAGGGGTCTGGCATACAGCAACATCTGCATGAATGTTAAAAACAGTTCCTAACAACTAAAATATCTGGCAACAGAACCAATCCTGCCAAGAGAGCAAGGCTATCTTCCTTGGATGTCTTCAAGCAGAAGCTGGACGCCTGCACGGAACAGAAGGTCCGACTCTATCTGCTCCAGCCCCCCCCTCCCGTTTCCNGGGGGGGGGGGGAATCGTTTTGTAGGGAGCAACACAGAAATTAATATCAACTTACCTATCAGATTTGAATTCAGGAAAGGAGTTGCAGATAATCCCTCACTGGGTTCTAATTGTCCGTCACTCAACTGATCACCATAGGAAGGAGAATCTATAAAACCCTGTGTGTAAAGAACAGCATTTAAGCAGCTATTATTTTGCAGCTCCACTTACTCAGTTCAAATAAACTGAAATGAAAACGTGGCTGTACAGTGGATCATTTTTGATAAAATTGGATTTTAAAAGTTGGTGTCACAGAATACATATAAACTGGCCATTTTTAAACTTCCATCATACTATAAATACTATAGTATTGTTTTTCATAAATGAATGTCAAGAGGTGAGACGTCAATATCTTCCATAAAACGATTGCAAATGTATGTTTTTTAATTACACCATTGGGAATTTGCTGCCCCTTATGCTGAATGTCAATTTTGGGCCGGGAAGGGTCTTGATTGGTGGATACATGCATGCAGAAGCAGCTCAAAGATTTCTGGTTATGGTATACTAAGCTACAGTGTACAAAGCTCTTCCCAGTTCTTCTGACAGACATTCCAGAGAGACAACAGCACTTTACACAAAGACTTTGTCACGGTATATGTAACATATTTTTCACAATCATTTGTTAACTGTACCCTCCTCCTTTTGTGCCCTCCCCTTCCAATACAGCAAAAGCCCACATGTAACATATCAAATATGTTCCATACAATGATGCCTGGTTTGACTAAGACTCTGTGCCACTGTAGTTTATGAAACTAGGGCTCCCTGCTGCCGGGTACCTATGTAAAATTGGGTAACAAGATCATTTGTTGGTTTTTCAGTCCACTTGAGACAGACTCAAGCAATATGTTTGAGAAATCTTTAATTAAAGGCTCTTGTGGCTATGGTGACAATTAAAAATTTGTTTTGGGGTCTCTTCTTGATAGTATTATTTGGAGAGAGACAATTTGGTTATTGCAAGTTGCATACTAAAAGCTTCCAATTTGGACTATTTTATCACATTAACTAGCCTGAATGTATTACTCAACTCCTGAAACAAGAGATCACCAAAATCCCACATTTCCTGTGTATAAAAAGATAAAGGAGATAAAAGAGAAGAGAATCCTACGAAAAATCACATGCATAGAAGAAGCGAATCCTACCGCCTCATGTTTCAGTTTCTCCAGAGCTATTGAAATATCTGAGCTTTTTCCAAGAAGGCTGCCATTATCCTGTAAAAGAAAAGAACATTTAGCATAATGTACCAACCTCTACATTTCTAAATAAACAAAGCATACTCGTAAGAAAACTGATCATTTCAGTTTTGATGAAACTGATGAGGCTGATCAGTGGTCTATTTGGACAATTTATATCCTGAATAACTACAAATTATACACACAGACACACTTTGTGCTCTTGGAGAGATTAGTAACCTGAAGCATACCTGCCACTTAAGAACCATAATGTCCTGGTATACTTCTAGTTCCTAATACAATTAAGGAGGTGGCAACAGATTTATAACCCACTTATCTCCAAAGCCACTTGCCAACCTTTAAGAAATTAGTATATGAACTCTCATAAAAATTAAAAAAAGCTATAATCAGTGTTTGATGCTAAGTGCAACTGGGATTCCCCTTGTGTTAGCTAGCTAGGGGGACATTATAATTCTAGTTATCGAAATACTCTTCAAGTAACTTATGGTTGTCCTTTTTTTGCTTGAACATTTTATATTCTGCTAGAGGGGTGAACCTCTAGTCCAAAACATGTCATTACATTAAATAATACTCCTGATAATCACTGTAATCAAAATAATTGAAGTGGCTGGGAATTGTAATTAATCAACATCTGGAGGCACACAGATTATATATTTTTAAATCCCACTTTTATTATTTTATAAGTAACTTGAGATGGCAAACATACACAATGCTCCTTCCTCCTCCCGCTTTCCCCACAACAACCATCTTGTGAGGTGGGTTGGGCACACAGTCACCCAGCCAGCTTTCATGCCTAAGGCAGGATTAGAACTTGAGTTTTCTGGTTTCTAGGCCATAGGCTGGTGCTTCAACTAACAATTTAAAACCATTTAATTCTAGCAGTAAAAACTATTTTCTTCATCATGACCAAAACTATTTCAAACAAGTATGCTATATTACTGATTCTACAGGTAAGAATTACTTAATTGCTTTACTGGACTTGCATAAATAGAACATGATGACAATAAACAAATAATTAAACCGAATATCCACATTTTGGCTGGGGACACCAATGTCTGATGAGACGCTTTTATGAGGAATCTGCAGTCAGGAAAACTGTTTGAAACTTGAGGTCCTCTCTGGACAGTAATGAGCTCTAGATCCAAACTTTGCGTTCCCAAACCTGGACAGCTGCTCTAACACGTGTTCAGATCTGTTCACAAACCTCCCTGGCTCATATCCCATCTTCTGATTAGTTATTTGTGTTGGGAAATAACTCCGTTGCTCATGAAAAGCACCTCAAGGCAAATACATACAAGTGCTCAGATATTGGCTATTCCTGTCCTGGGCTTGAACTACAATTTAAATCATTCTCTTACCCTTGTAGGTTCATAGGAAGGACTTGACTGACTGCTTGCATCCCAAGGTATCACCGCTGCTCGTTCCTCCATACCTATCAGAAGAAAGAAAATGCCTGCTCTGTAATAAAATGTGAAGATTCAAAGAAATCATGGGTTTAAATTAGGCTCAACTTTCAATCCCCTGAAAGCATTCAGAAGATATCTCAGGGCAGCTTTCTCCTGATTACTCACACTCAAATTAGATGAGTTTATATTAAGTGAGGATGTATTTTGAAAAAATGCTTTCAGCTTAGTTACACTGAATCACATTCGCTTGTTAATGACAAGGCAATTTGGGAAACTCTTCTTTGTATTTCCTTTCAATCTATTTGCCACGTAGTAATAATATCTGTGATCTTACATACTGCAGAGTCAAGCTTGATTGCAAGTCATTCACAAATGTAATGAAACTCAATATTTCCTTGCTCTCTTCTCTATCAAATGTGTTTTGGAAATTCTGGAAAGTGTGGCAAGGGAAAGTTTAACGGTGTGACTGTGCTGATTCATCATCTCTAGCTGGTTGTTTTGCAGGCTTCCTGGGGCTCTGGATCAACTCTGAACTGGGTTCCAAAGAGATGCCTCAGAACACCGAGGATGTGAGTGACATTCCTTTAATCAGGGGTGCTCTTTCTGGGATGTGGGGCAGTTGCAGAAACCTGGGAAAAGGTGTCAATTCTTTAAAAAAGCTGGAAACAGGGGGCTCTAGGTGAGCTCTGACATACCATTCTGCAAAACTATCCACCTAGTGCCACCTAGTTCTACAATATGCCAAAAACAAAAACTTCAAGACAGTAATTCTCTGGATATACATCCATCATTTATTTTAAATCAGTGTTGAAAGGAGGCTGCTTTTACTGCTGGTAGTAAATGTTAGTAATTTTTATTTTTCCTCTAACTTCTTGGATACACAACGGAACACTTGTGAGTAAAAAGGATGTAACAACTGTACTAAACTTAATACAAAATGGCCCAAATTCTTACGCTAATAAATTGCATGACAAATGATTTGTTTTTGAGAATAATCTTCATACAGTAATTCCACATGCAGGATTTACTCAAAAACCAAAGAAATGACATTTGTTAAGTGTCAACTCCATAACTTACAAAAGCAATAGAATCTTATCATACGATTGATATACTATCATTATACAATGGTAATTTTCTAGAGCATTTCCCAGAGCCACAGTCCAGTATAACTTTGCCACATTCTACAGCTGACAATGTAATCGTTTTATTGTACTTGGAAGTGTGGTTGGTGGCTGGCACCAACGAAGGCCGAGGTCACCCTTGGCGTGTCATTCTTTTCTCCATAAGAGAAGGCAAAATGACCACCACAGCAAATGCAAACATAAAAGATCTTCCATTTTCCAATGCAAAGAAAGAAAACAATATATATGTCGATGAAGATTCTCAGTCAGCCAGGTCAGGGTTGTCCCAAAGGTGCTTTTTCGGGAGGCAACTGGACTTTTCCAGTTGCCTCCTGAAAAAGCACCTTTGGGGCAAAGAACACAACACATTTAAAAGATTTGCAAAACTTACAGCAGACATAGACTCAAATACACTGTATAGAGAAAAAAATAGTGCTATAATTAGCACCTATAACTTACATAGATGCAAGTAAGATTCTACTCTGAAAGCCCTATGAAGCGGTATATAAGTCTAATAAATAAATAAATAAATAAAACAAAAAATACCAAGTTTTTGGATAGGGAGATCAGAGGAAAAAAATTTGTGGTTATGAGGACAGGAATCAGATAGTCAAATGTTCTCTGGTTTACACTTAACTACTTTCACAAACAGGAGGAAATAAGCCAAAGAAATCATTTCACACTCACACAATTCTCATAATCACATTTAGTAATTTTCTCCCTAAACCGAATAACTGGTTTAAGTGATCATGCAAAAATCAGGCTTTGGAAAAATGAAAAGCACCGTCTATACATTTTTGTTTCACACAATGAGTCATTGTTTTACTGTAATAATCTGTAGGCGATGATTCTTTTTTTTTTAACATCTTTAAATATATTATGAATATGCAATCTGTTGAGAGTAATTTGAAAATAGTTTTTCAGTGTCATGCAAATAATGGATGTCAAAGTAAGACTTTCTTTACTGAATTGCTTTCTTATTACCGAATAGCAAACCAAAGGTGTAATGCCAAAAAAGCCATTGGCTTTGTTAGCCAATCAATTGCAATGGACTGAAATAACACACTTTCCAACTAACATCATTCTATCAAGACCCCCAATGAAGATTTTCTAGGAAAGCTGTGAAATCCCACCTGCTTCCTTATTTGCATTTGGACACTGGACTGTTCCTGGGTTTTGTCTTTACAATAAATCAGATTCTCTTATGCAAGCTACCTAGAATTCTTTTTTGCCTTTGAAAGCAAGCCAAGAAGCACTTTAAATTGATACTCTTAACTGGTTGTAACAGGAGAACTCTGCTATCACCTATTCAGAGCCGCCAGCAGCCCTCTGAATGTGGAAGCAAAACTCATCCCTCCTTCTCACTTCTTCCTGTCCCTCAGCTGCTTTCTGCAGATCAAAGCCTAATTGCTGCAAAATAAAATCAAACAAAATGGTCTAAATCAGAGTCGTCAAACTCGCGGCTCTAATGTGTCACACACTGGCCACACCCAGGCCTGGTTTAGTGAAGGGGGGAAAAAGTCCCAATATGTCACGTGACACCGCCATGATGCCGCAAGTTTGACATTCCTGGTCTAAATGATCTTTGGCAGAAACAGGAACATACACATATACATACATCAAAAGGTCTGACCCCCCCCCCCAGCAAAAAGTAGTCCGTTAAGTTTACTTAACATTTCAAAATTCCTCCATTCTAATGAGAATTCTTTTAACTAAAGCAAATAAATTAAAAGGAAAAAATATGCAGAGCGTTTTATAGTATTAATAATAGTATTAACAAAATATTTTTTCAAAAATGGGGAAAAAGTTATGCAAAATTATTTCATGAACAAAACATTCCCCAAAACTGACCCAATTGCTCATCCCCTTGTTCCTGGGACACTCACTCCATGCAAGGAAACGACTAGTGATAATTACCGCCTATCAGCAATCCGCTGCTGCGAATCAGGTACAGATTTATTCATCCAATGTTCATGGCTTTCTTTTATCTTCCCAGTCTTCAAGGGTTTAAAATATTAGGGATGCACTATCTGAACATCTTTATTCCCCACCATTCAATTCAAAGTCTTTTAAACAATTATTTAGCTCAAAACACATAATATCAAGTTAGGATTGTAATGTCTGGAATTTATTTTTATCAAGGCAACTGCAGCTCATTATTATTGAACATCCTTTAAAGTGACAGACATACCTGGAACAAAATTTCCCATTGTACGAATTATAAAATCAAAATTTTATATTGCTCAAGGCCAACTTCCATTGCTTTATAAAAGCACAAGACCTATGCTCATTATCCCAAAGCTTACATAAAATTCATGTTAATTATTTATCTTATCAATTTTCTTCAACTTCTTATAAAAAGAGATTATTTGCATAGGAACTTCAATCAATTCTTCCAAACTTTTTAGCAACTGCAAAATTTCAAAATAGCAATTGAACTCTGATCCCTAATAACCAAATAGTCAAAAGAAGCTGAACGAACTGCCAAAAATACCAAAGCCAAAAAATAGCCTTCATCTGAATTTTATCTGAAGTAAATGTAAAAAATTTAGTAGCAACTGAATTTTCCCATATTGAGTTTTTGTGTGTGGCTAAAATGGTCAACATTCTACACCTGCAACCTATTGTTGTCCATAGATCTTTTCAAAGTAATTCCAGTCAAAGTTAAGGGAAATGTGCACAGGTTTAGTTAGACCAGCATTCCTGGTTTCATCCGAAGATTTTTATGAAGCATCTGAGTTCCAATGAAGGAAATCCTCCATTTATGAACGCAAATGACTCTCTAATTTTGGTTATACATTGTTGTGGTAAGTTGAGTCATGTGACTGGTCACCGTAAGTGAATCGCCTGGTTCTTAAGTCTGAATCCAGGTTTTCTAATGGGTGTTTTTGGCTGGAAAATGGCAAGAAGCCTTGCAAAATGTGATCCCGTGGTCATAGGACCTCTGCAACTGATTGTAAATGCGAGCCGTTTGCCAAGTGCCCAAAATGCCATCACAGGACTGTAGAGGTGGTGGGGTAGATGTAACATCAAGGATGGGTTGCAAGTGATCTTTGAACTAACCATTTGCAAGTCCAGGACTAAGGGTATGTCACAAATGTTCCAGGGGTTGCCGTTATCCAACATACCGACAAGCTTCCTTGAAGAATATAAAACGTACACCAAGATAGAGCCAGGAAACAAATACATAAAGTAGAAATAGAAAAAAATGTGATTTGATTAGAAGCCAAAACATTCTTAGTGTTCTTTTTAAGATCAGACTTTTTAAAAAATTCTCTCCAATTTCAAACATAGTTACATTTTGAGGGTCAGAAGGCAATTAAACTAAGGTGATAGGTGATGCATGTAGCTTGTTTTGCCTTTGATTTTATCTGAATATTACACCCAATGCTAATGAAACTTTTTTTTTAAGATCCCAGGATCCAATGTTAAACTTTCTATTCTTTGTCAGAAGTCTCTCTCCTGAGAACCCATTCTGCACTTCCCAGTTCTACTGCTTCTACATTAGAGGTGAGGTGGGTTGTCTCTTACTTGCTTATTCTGTTTCATGGAGTTCTTCTATATCCTCCAAGACGCTTGGGTACAGTTGTTCCCTGCAAGCAGATGGAGACAGTAACAAATACAATTTTTTAATGGCAACATCCCCCGTGAGGGGAATTTACAGGCTCAAAATCTAAATCTTCCAAGGAAAGTAAACAAAACCTGCTATCAGACACAGAAATATTAGTTGTTGTTAAGTGCTTAAATCTCAGGTGAGGTCAAAATAATTCTGTAGATGTTAAAAATATAACTTAGGTCAGCCCTACACTAGATAATATATTCATTGCTAAATTTATATGAACATCTGAATGAAGGCAGGAGCGCTGGGCAATTCTCACAGAACCCAGGTCAAAGGAGTCCTTCTCCACAACCTGTTTCCCAACAGTTCTCAAGCTTCCTAGGCAGCCTGGCTAAAAAGCACAGCAGGTGGGAATCCAGGAAATGGCAACTCCCAAATACCTAATGAGCCCCAGGCCCAGGGAAGACTGGACTCGAGTCCCCTCTTAGAAAGCAATGCACCTTTGCAACCACACTCAATTCCATAGGAAATACTTAGAGCACATAGTGAGGCCTGGATTATTTTCTTAAATACCATTTCTTTTAAGGAACTGGCTTCCACCTGGCACATTAATTATTGTTAAGTCTTCAGCATGTTAATGTCTGTGTTTCTTTGGAATACAGTATTTGTTCCAATATAAATGAGAGAAGCAGCCATCAGTTCATTACAGGGCACTTCCAATATTCAAAGTGCCACCAAAATCAATACCGTAACATGGCTTTGAAATTCAACCCTCCAAACATTCTTTGGAGGTCAAAGACTACTGTGATTGCTTTAAAAACTAAAATTATACCCACACCATCTGCTCACACTGAATCTCACAACAACGTCAAAACCTGAATGACAGAAAATGAGGAATTAACTTTGGTTGCTAATGAATCCGCACTTGCCTTTGTTTGGAGGTTTGTAATAGAAAAAGCAGAACATTGTTCTTACAGGGAAGAGCATACGCCAGGCCTTTAGCACCACTAAACAATAAAGGCCGTAAACATGTGCTCTATTTATGGCAACTTTTCCAATTTAATATAATATCCAATCAGAGAAAACCCTAGAAGCTGCCTGGTGGATCACTGCTCACTAGCGATGATGCTAGCTGCAAAAGTGGATTTATTATCCATTCTGCTTTCATTCTGCCCAAGGAAAGTTATCCAGACAGATTGATCCTTGCTATCAACTCAGACAAGATCACAGACTGATCAACTGCTTTATCCAAAACTGCTTAAATGTACATCACTGAATTTTACATGAACAGTCAAACTTCAACCATCAGTAAAATCCTATAGTAAAGCTAACACAAATAAACTTGTGTACCATTATATACTTTAGCTAATATTTATTTGCAGAGATGTAAAAATAATTAAGAATGTTTGCATATTTTAATAATTGAAATTTGCAGCAAACACTGCTAAATCTGATTTAGTTCTCAGTCATCAAGACACCTGAAAATGTTGTTTTCTTTCATTTAAGGCTTTCCAAAAGTCTTTTAATGTCAAAACGTTTAAAGCAACATTTCCCCCTTTAATTGCTTTAATTAAATATTGTCCAATGACATTGGGAATACCTTGATGTAGAAAAGATCTCCATATATGCACACTAAAGTCAACTAAACATTTTCTAAAATGAGCAGCATCGACTAACTAGATAATCAACCATGTAGCATCATAAAGTAGTTCTGCTAAAGAAAATTCCCAGGAGAACAAAGAAACAAAGAAGCCTTACAATAAAGTAAAACTGGTTCATTTAGTCATTTCTCCGTCTGGTTTAGTGGGGATGTCTGACAAAGTCACAATCCTATATTTCGATAAATAAAAATGTACCCTGAGAATGAATTCATCCATCGTTTGTTTCTTGCAAGTACTGCTGCTATGTCCTTCAGAGAAAAACTGATACTGCTTTTTTTTCTGTGTTTTTTGTACCCTAGTTAAAAAACCTGCCAATTGCCGCTAACGTGGCCTTCCTCGGATCCCTGTTGAGAAGCAGGTTGTTCCCCAGCCCACCAAGTTTATTATTTTTATTGTGTTAGTGAATGTTAAGATTTTTTTTTTTTAAAGTGGTGCATAACACTTTGATGGACAATACATAATTTTACAAGGAAAGTTGTATGCAAACATAAATATAAATAGCAAGATTACACACACCCCCACACACACCCCCACACACACACACACCCACACACACGCGTGCCTTAATTTCTTTGGCTTATTATTATCTTGCTCCCTTTCTGCACTTTAAATGAAGTTAAAGGGAAAACCCACGTCTAAACTATAATCTATTGCATGAAATGCCATTTCTGGCTTCTACAATAATATATTCAAGAATTACATTTAATTGTTTTTTAAAAAAAAAATGTCTGCTAACTAAGTGAAACAAAATATACTCCACTATTAGGAAGAAAGTTATTTGATCAATATTTCACTGCATGAAAATCCAAGAGTATCTAAATGCAACAAGCGATATATATAGCATGTTTAATGAAATCATATACAAAATTTCTGTATATAACTATGAATGGCCACCCTGTGAGAGTAGGAAAACCAGGAGTGCCAGGAGTGTTATACAACGCTACACAGCCAAATATAGTTTAAATGACAGGGAAGGAATTCATCTAGAAGCCTAAGACTCCTGATTTGAAATTTTACCAGTATGTTTCAATATGTAGCCTTCAAGATTTTGTTTACCCAACTGTAATACAGGGGTGATTGGTAACATTTTCAAGGAAGGATTGAAAATTGGTGTAATTTTTCCCAAGCAAGAGCTGACAAACTGAATACATGGCTTACATAATAGATACGAAAAGCTTTTGCGTGGGAAGAAATAAGGTACCACCAATATATAAGCCAACCGATCTCTGGGAAGAGGAGGGCTGTTCCCTGGATTAAATACACATAGACAGTCTAAGACCTAACTAACCTTATCATCTTCCCCTTTTCACTCCTACTAGCTCATAACATCATCTTCTTCTGGCCTTCTCTTTATCCAGGTTTGTTCATCATTCTTTTTCTCTCTCTCTTCACGAAAACTCACTAGTTGCAACAGCTTCCATTCCTTGATAGTGGCCGGTTTGTTTGTGAAAGAGGCTGACTGATACTTGCAGATGGGGGTCAACTGATTTTGTAGACGGATATGCTTTGAGAGGGAAATCATTTTATTTAATTGGTTATTAATTGCTAGGATTTCAAGAGAAATAACACACTAAGCATATTACATGTGGAAATAAAAATCCACTGTTCATTTTATTTTCAAACTTTTTAAAAAACATATTTCCCCACAGTGTCACAGTCAGTAGGTAAATGCTGGTGATTATTTTGCTATGTGTCTGTTTAACTGAAAGGAATTAAGCCATTAAGAAAATAATTTCACAAATCTGCGGCTGCTTAAATTTTTGACACAATAACTTCGGTGAACATAATCTTAGTATTTAGGGAACTAAAACCCCGCTATGCTGTAAAGGTAGCTCTATAACCCAATTTCCCCATCCTCAGATGATCAAACTTTCTGCATTTTTTCAACACAATTGCAATCAAAGAAAAAACATGAAATTCATCAGCTGTTGTCTTCATCAAATTTTCAGAGAGGCACTTGGCTTGCTTTAAAAGTTAAAGTTGAAGTTAAAATTACAAGGATTCCGCAAGAGAGTGGGCGTGACAAAATGCAAGTAAAATCCTCAGGGAGATAAAGGATAGTCAACTTTAGTCAGGACCACAACAATATCCTAAATGCTTTCCATTGTAGGAAGCCGGGAGAGGATCAAAAGTGCTTGTCAAGGATAAATAGAACCCTAATGTATCTAATTCTATTGGACAAGATATAAAAAGTGTTCTATAACAAAATATAACACATGCTGTCTTAAGAACAGATCCACCCAACTCATTTAAATTTTCAATATCTGTTCTTCTCTGGGAACATTATCATCTCCTGAAGTTCTGATTTCTTAATTTTCTATTACGCACATCAGTTAACATTAGCCCTATTAAATCAATCTGATTTTTTAATTTCAGGTGGAATGTTTTGACTACAAAAAATGGACTAAGCCATTTTTAAATAACATTATTGCATTCACAATGACATGTATCTTCAACAATTAAAATGCATTTTGTATATTAACTTTAAAATATTAACTCCAGACAGAACTGTTTTTCACATTAATTTGGGAGTATTTTCCCCAATTGACAGACGTAATTTGTTGTACCTACTTAGTTGCAGAGATTTTAACATGTCAAATACAACTGGCTCAATTTTGGCTGTCACATATTCATGTATTTGCAATTCTGGCCTTATTTTTGGTTATTTACGCATAAACATTTTTTAAAGAGTTGGGATAAGGTTGTTTGTATGGTATAATTTGCCCACATAGCCGGCCTCTTTCAATTTTTTCATTAAGGGATCAAATTATTCCAAGCAACTGGGGTAAGTGAAGCAAGAATGCCCCATATATTGGTCCAGCAATTGTGGTTAGAACAGAGCGAGGAGAAATGAATACAGCTACTGTATATCAGACAGAACGCTGTGTTGGGCCACAGACTCCACAATCTAAACACTGAATTCCAACAGACTCAAGGGATTGTTATTTATGACCTCATTATCTACAGGTTTACACTGGCACAGAACTCCTGCAACTAATGCTGCTGCTAGTAATGAAATAACTTTATAAACTCTAATTGAGAATTTAATTATGGGCAAGACTTAATTGCTTTGCCAATCTGTTTTCTAGTGCAAACTGACTGACTGGTTGGGGGAAAAAAGAGTTTTGAAAGGAAGTACAGATAGTTCTCGACTACAACAGTTTAGTGACCATCTGAAGTTACATGACTTTTTCAAATGTGTGACCATTGCAGGATCCCTATAGTCAAAAAATTCCCGATAAAGTTAGAGAAAAAATATTTTGCAAATCTCAACAAAATAATAGTGAAATATATATGGCAAGGGAAAAAAGCAAAAATTAATCTAAAAATGTTACAAGATGGAAGAATTGGAGGAGGGTTTGGGCTACCGATTTGGGAACTATATTATCAAGCAGCAGTGTTATCATGGATGAAAGAATGGATTGTATTGAGAAATACAAGGTTATTGACATTGGAGGGACATGCCTTAGTTGGGCTGGCATGCCTTCTTATGATATGGGAAAAACAAGAGGTGGTTATTTTCAAAGGCATCATATAAGAAATGCTTTATTAGTAGTATGGGAGAAAGTTAGAGAAAAACATTATTTGAAGATACCAGCTTGGCTTTCGACAATGGAAGCGTTAATACATCTAAATATTAATATGGGAAACATTGTTAGATATAAAGATATTTTGACAGAAAAGGGGAAACTTAAAAGGAAACAAGAATTAGAATAACAAGGAATAGACATGGTTTGGTACACACAATTGCAGATACAATCTAGATATGAAAAAGGTGCTAAAATTATATGGTTTCCATATGGAGATGACAGAATTGGATGAGATACTTACAGGAACAGAACAGTGAATGATTAAAAAATTGTATAGCTATTTGCTGCATGTTAAACTAGAAGAGGAACAGGTAAAAGAAACGATGATAGCATGGGCAAAACTTTTTGGACACTCGATAGAGTTAGATAAATGGCAGCAACTATGGGAACAAAATTATAAATTAACAATTAGCAACCGCATATAAAGATAATTTGTATAAAATGTTTTATAGATGGCACATGTCACCTGAAAGATTGGCAAAAATGTTTAAAGATAAATCAACCAAATGTTGGAAATACCATTAATTTGCAGGGTCATATTATCACACGTGGTGGACATGTACAAAAGTGAAAAAATACTGGGCAAGAATTCAAATGTGGTTGGAAGAGATGACACAGCAACATATTGACTTAAAACCTGAATTGTTCTTGTTGGGTATCTTACCAGGGAAATATAGTAAAGAAAATATATATTTGATCATTCATGTAATAACTGTGGCTAAAATTGTATTTGCACAAAATTGGAAAGCTGAAGAAATTCCTAAAGATGAAAATGTGATTAAGAAAATATTGGATTGTGCAGAAATGAGTAGATTAACACTAGCAATTAAAGGAAAGGAAAAATCTGATTATAATATATGGGAGTTATTTTATCATTCGTTAGAAAATGAATATGGATAAAAAGTATAAAAGTAAATAATTTAGGAAGAGAAATGTTATAACAGGAGGAATGTTAAGTTGTAATGCTGAATTAAGAACAGATGTATATAAAGAATTTGGTGGTAAGCTATAACTATTACGACACAAAAAAATTGTACTCAGATGACACACTGATTGATGAATGATGAAATGTTTGTTTTAAAAGAAAAAAAAATAAAACTTTTTCAAAATCCAGACACCTGGCAACTGGAATGTATTTATGAAGGTGCAGGGTCCAGGGGCTGCGTGATCCACCTTTGCACTTTCTGACAAGCAAAGTCAATGGGGAAGCCAGATTGCATTGATTCACTTAACTGTGGCAAGAATGATTATAAAATGAAGCAAAACTCATTTAACAATTGTCTTGCTTAGCAACCAAATTGTTGGGCTGAACTGTGGTCGTAAGTCAAGAATATTTGTGTTTTATGACAAGTCTGTAGTAAGCTACTCAGCTCCCAAGATTATTCCCTCATACTTTCACACATGCTAAAGTTAGTGCTCTAAAATTTTGAAGCACAATATGAAGAGCAGAATCGTAAACTTTATTAAGCCTTACAAGCCACAGCAACAATGATTAAAATGGTAGTTGAAAGTTACAGTCTTTACAGGAGCCACATAATATAACCAAGAGGATTCTCTAGTCGCCTGTAGAAAAAATGGAACCAGCCCAGGTACCATATTTATTCTCTATGCCCAACATAGACTGAATGCTCTGCAAAGTTAAATGTAAACCTGGGGTAAGATGGGTGGCCAATTAATTTTACAAATAAATAAAAATTAATGGCAGTCTAGAGGAGATTGGATATAGGCCAATCAATTTCTAACTCACTATTGAGGCCTTCTTGTCCACTCAATATTATCTGAAGAAGGCAGAAAGCAGAAATGCAGATTATGGTATGAGAGTATAAGAAATTGGAAGTTTTCTCCAAGGAATTTCTTTCAGAATCTCTGCTTTGCTCGCCCAACTTCTGAGGAAATGCTGAAATATTCTGGCATGTCTTCCCAATTAGTGCACCAAATTAGATAACTCATTATATAGACTGAGTGATACAGGATGTGTATTAAAATTAAGCATAATATAATAAAACCGTAGACATGTTTCTCCAGATTAAATTATTGAAATATAACTGAAGATTCAAATTGTAATAAGGTAGACTAATAATATTGAAACTATTAAGATAAACACATTTTATGTCAAAGCTGCCAAATCCCAAACACAAAATATTCAAATCATACCCCAAAATGCAATTTGCAAAATGCTGTCAGAACAGAAGAATAACATGGTAAATAAAAGGAAACAATTTGGCCAACCAAATTTGCAATATTCTTTAGAAAATAGATAATTATTAATAGAGAATTAGAGAAACACACTAAGGAGAATTACTGGAAATACTTTAATCAATATCGTGCTCATTTCACTTTGTCAAACCGTGAGAAGAATAAGCAAATAGTATGTAAGAAACTATACAATTTAAATTAGAGTATTAGTGAACAATTCTATTAGAATTTAATACTAGAATTGTCAGCTGTCATGCAAGTTTACATGACATCAGACACAAGAGTAACCAACAAATCTGTTGTAAAGGATAGCTGAGCTACAGTGGAAGAGGAATACTTAAAACAATAGACAACATAACTCCCTTAAATATTGGCCATGAAGCATCTGCCACAAAAAGTTGAAGCATGCTCTTCAATGAGCAGAAAACTCGTTTTTTTTAAATTTTGCTAAAGAACAAAGACATCCTAACATTGTAAGGATAAGAAACAAAGAGACAAGCTGACCCAGGAAAAATACAAGTTCTTCCTTCAGAGGCAAAGAATCTTTAAATTACAAAGCAGTCGGCAACCTACCTGAGACAACAAACTAGATTTCAGGTCTGAAACTAAGAAGGCAATTGAATTCTATAACTATATAGACAATTGCAAATAAAATTATTTAATTTTCAGGAAATAATTAGAATAATTCAGTCACGATATGAAAGATGCTGTAGACCATGACATGGAAAAATAAAGAGGGATAGAAAAAAGGTTGTGCTATAATTTTAAAATCACACAAATAAAATTAAAAGCTTTATGAGAAAAATTACACTGTATAGATGTGATTTAGCATAGCAAGTGAAAGTGCTGAAAGAATTTTTTTCATGTTTAAAATAGAAATGAGTTTTTGATTTCATGTAAGCACTGTATTAATATTAATCCCGTGCCCTTAAACTACTGATATTAGGGGTGAAATCCAGCAGGTTCTCACAGGTTCTGGAGAACCTGTAGCGGAAATTTTGAGTAGTTCGGAGAACCGGCAAATACTACCTCTGGCTGGTCTCAGAGTGGGGAGGGAATGGGGATTTTGCAGTATCCTTCCCCTGCCATGCCCATCAAGCCACACCCACAGAACCAGTAGTAAAAAAATTGAATTTCACCAGTGACTGATATTTATTTTCAAATCCAGTTTTTAGATTATAAAATTTTTGAATTCACAAATCCATCAATTATCCAAAATGTTAAAAATAACTTGTATGTACCGTAGTAAGGTAGGAACAACTGACATGAAATATTCAGCATTCAGAACATACGTGCAAAGTTTACCGATATGAAAAATCAAGATTTGGCAAGGAAATCACTAAATCTACTCCAACAAGGTACACTGTATTTATCATTAGATCAGAAACATAATTTCTTGAAATACAATCTCTCCTTCTACATTTATATAAAAGGATTATATAATCCTTTTGTAGAAAATTTGAAAGATGTTAAAAATGTATGCACAAATTGATGTAACGGAAGCATTTGCTTTTTTACAGAAAGTCGATGAAAGGATTGAAAGAGAGAACTAAGGATATCATTTCACATGGGTGGCTGGTTTGCAGCTTTGCTAAATTTCATTGCAATTTCTAGACAGATAATAGTACAGGAAAAAAATTATTTTTCCAACATCAAGAAAACCCCGAAAACCCCAATTATAGTTAATTATTTCTGCTTCTTGTGCTACTGATTAAATCTACCCCAACATATTACCGAGTAGTATATACTAAGGAAGCGTGTTTAGCAAGCATCACTTGGGACAAGGATGGTTAGCTTTAGTAGCAGTACAACATGAACCCTGCATCATCTGCACCACTATTTCTGCTCCGTTTGTCCTGGATTGAAGAACTAGGCAGGGACGGAGACACCACAACCAAGTGGAGGCGGGGGGGGGGGGGAGAGAGACAACGGCCAGGCTTGCCGAGGCGAAGGAAGGGCCGGATCCAAACCAGCTCTTCTGGGCTTGCCTGCCCGTGTGCAGGGAGCACAGGGGCCTCCCGGGGCTTACGGC